CACGATCTGATTGACGAGTTGTTGGAGCTTCAGAACTCTCTGGTTCTTGTTCATCATATGCTGATTCTGCTTCAGAAGAATCTCCTTGTTCAAGCTCATTTTCCACATGTATTTGTGTAGTCTCTGACTTTTCAGTGCTATCATCGTCTTCTTTGCTTGTAGTTTATCTTCTACAAAGATAACATCCCTGCTAATGATCACTTTGCGGGCAGTGGGATCCCACAAACGATACCCATTTACTCCATCAACATACCCCAAGAATTTGTATTTCCTGGATTTTGGATCCATATTTGAAATTTCTTGGGAGTTGTACATCACGTACACAATACTTCCAAATACATGGAGGTTTGAATAATCAGCTGGTTTACTAGTCCACATCTCCATTGGTGTCTTCAGCTCTATTGCAGTTGATGGAGCTCGATTCACCAAATAACAGGCGGTATTGACTGCTTCTGCCCAAAATAATTTTTCTAGGCCTGCATCCCTCAACATTGCTCTTGTTATTTCTAACAAGGTTATGTTCATCCGCTCTGCCACTCCATTTTGTTGAGGAGTGTTCGCCACTGTGAACTGTCTTTTGATGCCTTCTTTCCTGCAAAAGTCATCAAATTCTTTACTTGTGTATTCTCCTCCATTATCTGGTCTGAAACACTTGATCTTATTTCCAGAATCCAGTTCCACCAGCGCTTTGAAGTTTTTGAAAGTTGAAAACACATCTGACTTCTTCTTAATAGGTACACTCAACATCTCCTGGAGTAGTCATCAATAAATGAGACAAAGTATTTTGCTCAGCCTAGGGATGTAACTGGTGCTTGCCATACATCAGAGTGAACCAATTCTAGAACACATTTGCCTCTAGAATTTGATGTGTTGAATTTCAACCGACGCTGCTAACTTGTTATGCAATGCTCACACAAAGGAAATGTTACCTTTGTTAAGCCTGAAAGTAGTTTTTGCTCCACAAGGACTTTCATTCCTTGTTCTGACATGTGTCCAAATTTCTGATGCCATAGCATTGTAGAATCTGAACTACATGAGGCAACAGAGGCTTCTGCTTCTAGCAAAGTCTTCCCCTTCAACATGTACAATTTTGCTGCTATCTTTTCGCCTTTCAGCACCACAAGCACTCCACGGAACACCTTCATGATTCCATTCTGTGTTTCAATCTTACTTGCATTATTATCCAACAATCCATAGGATAATAAATTTTTCTTCAGGCCTTTCACGTGCCGCACATCTCGAACAACTTTAATTGTTTCATCATACATCTTCAATTTGATGGTTCCAACGCCAACTATCTCTAAGGCATGATCATTCCAACTATACACAGATCCTCCTGAGACAGGTTCATAATGATGTAACCATTATCTTCTTGAGGTCATGTGATATGTTGCTCCCGAATCAATGAGTCATATATATGTAAATCTTTTTCTGCCTTCCACGGTGGTTGACGTTTCACAGCATAGAACATCTCCATCATCTGAAGTGTTTGCGGTATTGCCTTGTGGATTGGAATTTTTATTTAGACTCCAACAATCCTTCTTCAAGTGACCCTTCTTTCCACAGTTGTAACAAATTCTTCTTGCTCCTCGACTTCGATCTACCATGTTTGTGACTGTTGCTTTGGCCACGTTCTGTTGATCTCCCTCTCATCGTTGTCAACGCTTCTGCTTGTTGTAGATTTACTTGTCTGTTTTCCTTGTTCTTGCACCGATTTTATTCTTGTAGAACAGCAGCTGCAACGTCATCGAAGACTAGACTGATGACATTACTGTTTTTCAAGTTGATGATGAGTTGATCATACGAATCCGGTAGACTTTGAAGTAGAAGTTCAGCACGTTATTGTTCTCCTATTTTACAGCTTAAGGATGTAAGCTGAGAAAATAAAGTGTTCAGTGTATTTAAATGCTCTATCACTGAAGTAGATTCTGGCATACGGAGAGTGTACAATTTTCTCTTAAGGAAAATTTTATTGTGCAGCGATGTGGCCTCGTACAGTTTGGTGAGATGATCCCATATCTCCTTAGTTGTCTTCTTTTCCTCGATGCTTGATAATACTTCATCTACTAATGCTAGATGAAAGTTTGCCATAACATTCCCGTCCATTCAATCCATTTGTTCTCATATGTGAAATCTACCGGCCTTTCACTGATAGCTGCTAGACAATCGTCTTTCCTCAGGATAGCCTTCATCTTCAATTTCCACAAAGAGAAATTTCTCCCATTGAATTTTTCAATTCAAATTTTGTTGTCATAACTTCTATTACAGATAGCTCCCAGTATTTCACTATCGTGAATAGTTCTTTGGAACCTTCAAAGAATGGGTAATACCTTCTTACTTTCTTATGTTGGAGGATCCACCTTTTGGTGGCAACCACAAAGACAATAAGCAGATATTACACACTCAAATCTGGCTCGGATACCAATTGTTGCGGAAGACGGCTATCGAATAGAGCAAAATCGCAACTGATAATTTAAGAAAATAAAAATGAAGATAAAAGATGACATAAATTTTACCTGGAAAACCCCTAAATAATATAGGGTAAAAACCAAGGGCAACGGTAGAAGAATTTCACTATGAGAAAATAGGAATTACAACTTCTCTCGATCGACCAAAGAAAAAACAATGATAATTCTCTCTTGATAAAAAGGAGAAAACAACTCTCAAGAAACTCTCTAAATTATCTCTAGTATTGGAAGAAAGCTAGAATGCTTTGGGATGGTTTTGAAGCTAAATGAACTAGGGTATTTATAGTTGAAGCTTAAGGACTAATTTGTAAATACCCTAAATTACAATGTCTAAAATTGAGATTATCCTTATCACCAAAAATCAACAAAAAACCAGTCATTTTTTCGGTGCCCATATTTTTGACTAATTATTCGGTGCCCATATTTGAGTACTTGTCTTAGTAACTAATACAATAATGAATGAAGCCTAGACTATGGTAGTATTTGGTTTTGGTGGCCATCAATTTCTTCGACCATTTATTCTTCAAAATGACATGATTAGGGTTTTTTTTACAGTCCGGGTAACTTGTAAAAAGATTTGTTATTTCAAAGGACCATGTGAGTGAAGTGGGCAAGATGAAACTGGACCAAAATCAACCACCCACCCACCCATTAACCCTCGTAATGATCCCAAATTGACATTCCTTTTACCTTGACGATGAAGATAGGAGTCTCAAATGAAGGGTCTGGCTTTGTTTTTTGTTTGGGTGCAGAAAGTCCAAAAGGGGAGGTTTCATTTTCCAAATTAAATGAGCATGAGCTAAGGGGTACTCAATTGCATGAAAGAAATAAGGGCAAAAGAACCAAACCACATTGACTATTCCCCCCCTTCCTAGCTAGTCCCTCCAACCCTACACTCATTGCTTTTGGACTTTTCTCCACCCTTTCGTAGGTAGACACGTGACTTGCACGTGCCTTCCATGATTATTCAACTACAATTCAATATTTCAGAATGTTACTACTATTTTTTATTTACAAAATTGGTTTAGAGGTAAGTACCCCTAACTCATTGGCTAAGTTGATGATAAGCATAGGAGAAAGAGGGTCAAAAGCATCAAGAATCATCAATCCCATCAAAACTTAACAGAACAATCATGAAGTATATGTGTCGACAAGTATGATTAATAAGGTCCAAAGGAAGTGGAGTTGTGTTGGATTTACATTTGTTTCTACTTTGGCAAATCATAGACGCTGAAGGAATAATAATGAGGAGTGTCGGCTTTACAGTTTTTCACCAAACTCTGTAGTAGGAACATCAACATGTTTCCCAACTCCAAACCCTAAATATAAACCCAACTCCTAGTCATTGGTAAATTTTGGCAGTAAATGGAAGCGCCAAAGGCTGAAGATATATTAAGAAACCCAGGGGGAAAGGGTTAATGCAGGTGTGTAGGGAATAGTCGTTTTCTGTGTGCCCCAACACAACTTGAAGCTTGTCAGCCAGCCAACACCTCCCTTTGGCTTTAAAGTCTCTTCCACATTTCAATTAACTAAATATCTAAAAACGAAAAAACTTCTAATTGATCTTCTGCCTTGTGCTCCTCAATTCTTCCATCATCCATCCATCGCTGCCCCTGGTAATCATTATTTCTTTTGTCATCATTACCATGAAAAGCCTCTCTCTCTCTCTATCCACTCCGCAATTCAATTATATAACACTTTCGGAGACAAACACAAACATAACCCAGCAGTATATATAATCTCTTCCAAGTCCAAACCCTCTCAAGGCTTTGGCATTTTTTCCAGTGCAAAGCAAACACTGTTCTACTCTCAATCCTAAGATGTGCATGAAGCCTTCAGGCAACTCCTTGCGTCGAAACCCTCCTTTCAAAAGACATAACATTCGTGTTCCAAGACTCACAGGTTTAAGATTTGTTCATGTTTTGTTTCCTTTGCTGTGTTTGGTCGTAAATTTAACAGAAGTGTCAAACAGGTGGAGAAGGTTAAGGAAGGGAGGGAAAACAAACAAGGTTAAAACGGATCATATGGAAAGGAAGAACTTGAAACTGTACATGGAGAACCAAAGCATCCTAAAACAGAATGAGGCACTGAGGAACAAAGCTCTTCTCCTTCACCAGGAGAATCGAACCCTCTTGACTCTGCTGCAAAACAAGTTCTCTACTCCTCAAAATCACTTCTAAAATGGATAACCTGCAAGCTCCATCGTTATCAATAACGTGTACCATGTTGTGTAATATTATGCTCTTTTTATAGATTCGAGTTGGGAATAATGTTTCGAGTTTTATTCGTGTATCAATTGATGAATAGTGGCGATAGAACAAAGAAGTTTAATGTAGAATTTAGCAGATCCATGGAGAATTTAATTAAATGTTTAGTATTATTGAAGCTGGAGCCTGGAACAGAAACGCAAAGGAACGGACACCTTTCCGTGGAAATCAAAGAACAACCATTTCTAAGAAGTGCAAAGCAAACCAGTCTAAATAGGCAAATACTCAGATATCCATAAACATATCAGTACCATGTGTTTTTTTATTTATAAACAACCGGGTAGACTTTATCTGTGGTTCTATAAACGAAAATGTAAAATTGCAATGTCGAAATCCAGACACCAGCTGCTGAGTCCTGAACATCGACAATAATCTAATATCGCCCAACCAAGATGAAGTCGTTGTCATCGAGCACCTTAACATCTTTTTTTCCAACAAAGTTCTCCCGCCCAATTTCCTTGACCAGATTAACAAATTCTACTCTCTTTGCCAGTGGAAGAGGTACATATGGTAACCTGAAAACTGGCCTCACAACCCCCAGCTGGGCAAGGGCTGTGTTAAGGCCAATGGGGTTAGGCTCCTGAAAGAGCCACTCGATCAGAGGTAAGAGCTTTGCGTTAAGTGAAAGGGTTTTCCCACTGAACATGAGTTCACGCATCAAGCCTGGAATCAAATTGCTTGTAACAGAAATTACCCCGGTAGCCCCATGGCTCAACCTAGCATCATGGCACTGATTGTCGTTCCCACTCCACACTACAATTCCATTGCCTGTATATTGCTTAATGCGGTCATTTCCAACACATTCCTTGATACCAGCCAAGTTAGGACTCTGTGCTACAGTGTTGACAACACGTGGAGGAATATCTTGTCCAGTTCGTGATGGCACATTGTATATGATCGTAGGGCCCATTGGCAGAACGCTATCAAAGTGAGAAACTAAGCCTTCAAGAGAAGTTTTGCCATAATAAGGATTGATGTGAAGAGCAGCATGCATTCCAACAGCAAAACCTTGTTCTGTAGCATGAATCGCTTCCCTGGTTGAGTTGCTTCCCTTTTTACCAATTACCTTAACTGATCCACCAAAACAGTTGACAGTATGACCAATAAGCATTATGTGTTCATCCCAGCTCATCAGCTGGCCCTCACCAGTTGTGCCGCCAACAATTACCCCTTCAGTACCATTTTCAATCTGCATATTCACCAAGTCATCATATGCTTCAAGATCAAACCTTCCATCAGGTAGATATGGGGTTTTGATGGCTGTTATCAGTCTAAGAGCTTTTATATCTTCTGTCGATGTCCTGCAAAACACAAGGCAGGTAAAATCATCAACAACAGTGATTCTTACAAAAGAAGCTTCATTTCCAACAAATCTAAAGCTACAGACAAACCATCTCTCCATCGATTAAGACACTAAAATATTAACATTCACCACAAGTTTATGACACAGTGAATATACATACACCATAGCACCATCATCACAGAACCACTAGATCTTAGGCATTCTCCATGAATGGAGCATTAGACAAGTACCAACTTCAAACATAAGACTATAATAAGTATTAAAAGATTATTCTAATTGAAATTATGCACGAGTCAATACCAAGTAATTCGGTTATGTTTATTTCAAGGCACGTAATACAGATTTGAATAACAGAACAATGTCAATGACACATCCAAAACATATGGATTATAGCAGCTTAAGAAAAGAAAACAAACAGATACGAAAACATGGCAAACATTGACATTTCAAGAAGGAACACAGTGTTGGATCATAAACTTGATCTATTATGGGAGCCTAAACCCAAACCCAAACTAAATTGATGTCATTGCTTACATCATTTAAGTAAAGATGTCATTGCTTACATCATTTAAATAATGATGTCATTGCTTATATCAATTTAGTTAGGTGAGAGTTAGGTATTTGTTGTATTTGTAATGGTTTAAATTAGTTTATTTGTATGGTGTAGGATTATTCTTGAGTAGTATAAATACCTCTCCCCATTTTAGTTTTAAGCATCAAGAAAAATTAAGAGCTTCTAAGTGAGTGAAGAAGCAAAGTCCTATAAGAGTGAGTTGTAGTTCTTGTTTTTGAGTGAGAGTACTCTTGTAATATTTGTTTGAGTTTCAATAAAAGTTGTTTGTGTGAGTGTTTTATTTCCAGCAAAGTGGTATTAGAGCGAGTTGGAAAGATCGAAGGTCTCGACGAGAGGAATCTGACGCCGCCAGAATTTTCTCAATCTGAGTTCTGACGCACCGCCGAAAGACTGCTGCCAGAAAATCCAGTTGACTCACCGAGTTGATCCGAGTCAGCCGAGTTAGAGCCCTTGACCGAGTTGTCAAAGTCCCTCCCAAGGTTTTTTCGGTGTTCCGGATTCATCCGTGCAATCGGATTTTACAAAATCTCATTATATTGAGAGATATGGCAAATGGTATGGCACCATTCCAAGTTCCGACACTCAACAACAACAACTACGATAATTGGAGTATCAAAATAAAGGCACTTCTTGGATCACAAGATGTGTGGGATATCATAGAGAAAGGCTATAACGAGATTATGGATGATGTTGTTTTTGCTACTCTTATACCAGATCAAAAGACAACTTTGAAGGATTCAAGAAAGAGAGACAAGAAGAGTCTCTACCTCATCTACCAAGCATTAGATGATGATGGTTTTGAAAAGATTTCAAGTGCAAGCTCTAGCAAGGAAGCATGGGAGAAGCTGCAAACCTCTTACAAAGGATCTGAGCAAGTGAACAAGGTTCGTCTCCAAACATTAAGAGGTGAATTCGAATCCTTACACATGAAGCATCTGAGTCTATTTCAGATTATTTCTCAAGAGTAGTAGTTGTTTCTAATCAATTAAAAAGAAATGGTGAAAAGTTAGAAGATGTGAGGATAATAGAGAAGATACTCCGTTCGTTGGATCCCAAATTTGAGCACATCGTCGTGACGATTGAAGAAACTAAAGACTTGGAAGAAATGAGGATCGAGCAGCTCCAAGGATCATTGCAAGGATACGAAGAGAAGCATAAGAAGAAGCATGAGTTTACTGAGCAACACCTCAAGCTGCAACTCAAGGATATGCATGAGAGCCAACGCAATGATAGAAACCAACGTGGCTAAGGCAGAGGTAGAGGTCATAGACGAGGTGGATAATTTACTTCTAGGGATTTTCAAGAGTTCTATGAAGCAAATGGAATTCATCGACCAATGACAGTTCCTAGATCCCCCCAGCAAAATGGTGTGGTAGAAAGAAAGAACATAACAATCCTCGACATGACACGAAGCATGCTCAAAAGCAAGAAACTACCCAAGGAATTTTGGGCGGAGGCAGTAGCGTGTGCAGTCTACTTGACAAACTGATCTCCAACAAGAAGTGTATGGGGAAAGACACCGCAAGAAGCATGGAGTGAAAGAAAGTCTGACATTTCCCATCTGAGAACCTTTGGAAGTATAGCCCATGTTCACGTACCAGACGAAAGAAGAACGAAGCTTGATGCTAAAAGCGAAAGTTTTATCTTCATCGACTATGATGCTAATTCGAAGGGCTACAAGTTGTACAATCCAAACAATAAGAAGTTTGTGATTAGTCGAGATGTGGTCTTCAACGAAGAAGGAGAATGAGATTTTAACTCTCATACGGATGACTTCAATTTCTTTCCTCAGTTTGAAGAAGATGAGCAGACAATGAGGGAACAACTAGATGAATCTCAACAAGAGCTTGCAACTCCACCCACTTCACCAACATCAACCACTCAAGGAGACTCATCACCTTCGTCATCGTCAAGTGGGAGTCAAAGTGAAAGAGTTGTGCAACGCACAAGAAGCCTTAGAGATCTGTAACATCCTCAATACCGGGTTAGTGATTAAATTGTAAGGTTTCAAAATTTGGTGATTTAAATTAGAATAATTGAGTGGTTTAAAGACTTATATGAGAAATGAGGGGTAAGATCAAATTGAAAAGAATGAGGAATGAAAGGATAGTATGGTCATTTGTAAAGAAAAGAAAAATATAATAATAATATATGGTATATATAGATACACATGGAAGGAAGGAAACAAAGTTTAGAGGTTTCCAGAGTTCCCTTCTTTTTCTTCTTCTTCTTCACGTGTGAAGCCAAGCAAAGGTGAGTTTTCTCTTGAGTTGATTATGTGCTGAAATTTAAGTTTAGCTTTGATTATTAGATGCTAAGTAAGATTAAGGAAAGATTAATTTGCTTTAAAACAACAAAATGAAGAGTTTATGAGGATTTAAAGATTTGAAGTTTTTGAATGAAATATCGAAATAAAGTTTATATTGAGAATTGGAAGTTGAATTTGACTTGTCATCAAGTTAATTAAGGGATAGGAAGTGTTAGAATATGAATTTGAACATGTTGCAAAACTAGTATAATTTTTGCAATTACATAGGAATGACTAGCTTTGAAGTTAAAGAAGTGATTATGGAATCGAAATAAGTTTAAGTATGTGTATTAAAGTTAGGAGTATTAAAGGAAGTGAAATAGGAAGGTTTGAGCTGAAATAAGGTGATTTTCGAGCTCAAAATGGGATTTCTGGGCTAGGGGAATCGGTACCCATTCAAGGGGAATCGATCCCCCCTCAAACGAATATGAATTTCTAGAATGCTAGAGGGGAATCGATACCCCCAGGGGGAGAACCGATTCCCCCATAATGAAAAAGAAGAAGAAGAAAGAAGAGAAACTAAACTATTAATCCCTTAAATTGGTAGGCTATTAGAGGTTAATTTCAAGACTTAGGCATCTGATAATCATCTTGAAAATTATGCTTATGTAGATATTGAACGTGACTTTGCTTCAAAGTAATCGAAGGGTTAGAATTGATTCAATTCAAACAAGGCTAAGGTGAGTGCATGTGAATAACATGATTATGTTAGTATATTCAGTTTTAGAATTTCGATAAGTCTAGATTTAATATCTTGATACATGATTCATTCAATATTATTAAATATGATATGAATTCATACCATATACATTATGGGATATACTATGCAGATTGTGGTAAGTCTATTTTCCAGATTAGAGCTTATATATGAATGAGTTACGAGATATCTATATTAGGTATATGAAGTGTGTGTGCCGTGTCTGTTATGGTTTATATGTATGAATGAGCATATGTATTGACATGTTAAAGTATATATATATATGATATGAGTTGTGTAAATAGGTAGATAAATGTGTTAAATATGTGAAATAGTTAAAATGATCAATATGATTTCATAAGAATATGAAATAAGAAATATGAAAAGGGCATAAGAAAGAATATGAAATATATAGAATATGAATATGAAATCATATGAGGGGTGACATGAATTATATGAAAATATGCTAGTGTGATGGGAACTAGGAACTAGTATACGTGATAAATATACATTTATATAAGTTATTGGATGAAAAATGAACAAGAGATAAAAGAGATGAAGGATAATACTATAGGAGTATGATAAAAACATAAATGATGACATGTATGTATGTATGTATGTAATGGTTATATGAAAAGGTATAGGTAATAAGATGATCATATGAACATGTGATAAAGAGCTATAGAAAAAGAAAAATGTGATATGATGTATGAATATGTAATAAGGTAAAAGACAATACCATGATATGAGTTATGAGAACTGTAAGTATAGTTGATATGCCAAGAGTCGAAGAACTACCTATGTCTTTCGAGACATATGGACAGTATATCTATGTTCTAAGGAACATATGGATAGTTACCGAGGATCTTTATGACCTCTGGATAGTTACCGAGGATCTTTATGACATCTGGATAGTTACCGAGGATCTTTATGACCTCTGGGTAGTTACCGAGGATCTTTATGACCTCTGGATAGTTACCGAGGATCTTTATGACCTCTGGATAGTTACCGAGGATCTTTATGACCTCTGGATAGTTACCGAGGATCTTTATGACCTCTGGATAGTTACCGAGGATCTTTATGACCTCTGGATAGTTACCGAGGATCTTTATGACCTCTGGATAGTTACCGAGGATCTTTATGACCTCTGGATAAGTCTTTCGGAATATTCATTGAGCTGTGGTGGCAGCATACGTGTGCACAACCTCATAATACTCGTATACCTTAGGTTCTCAATAGTGTGTATGGGCTTAAATAAGACATAACGAGGATGTATATAATTGTATCTTAATATGGTATTATTATGATTTATATTGGCTCATATGTGGTATAATACATGATGGGATGATAGTATAATTGTGTTTGGATAGTAGACGACCTGTTTATATTTTTGTAATTATTTATTATGTAATTATGCCTCACTAAGTCTATGACTTAGCGTGTAAGTGTTTTTACACGTAGGTTTCGAAGAGCAGGAGAATCAAGAATAGGAATTTGCAGATCAACCTATCTCTACTCAGCGGTCAGATCAGAAGTAAAGTCACAGTAGGTATTTTGTTGTATGTAGTGTGTTGGCATGTAAGAAAAGTGGTAGTTACAAATGCTCTGATTAGTTTTGTCTTGTTTTGGTTAACTCGTGTACAGTGACAATGTTATTTTAATGAAAGTTTTAAATTTCATTGGTTTTCGTTAAAAGATTAAAGTTTGAAAAGTCAATGTGACACCTCAGACTTGTATCCGGGTCGGATACGGGTTGAGGGTGTTACAAGATCTCTATGAGGTAACTGAACGACAAGATAATCTTACATTATTTTGTCTGTTTGCCGATTGTGAACCAGTGAGCTTTCAAGAAACAGTTCAAGAAAAGAAATGGAGAGATGCGATGGATGAAGAAATCAAGGCCATCGAGAAGAATGACACATGAGAACTTACATCACATCCCAAGGGACATAAGGCGATAGGTGTCAAATGGGTGTACAAAACAAAACAAAATGCCAAAGGAGAGATTGAAAGGCACAAGGCGAGAGTAGTTGCTAAAGGCTATAGTCAAAAGGCTGGAATTGACTATGATGAGGTATTTGCTCCTGTTGCTCGATTGGAGACTATCAGACTAATCATTTCTTTGGCAGCTCAAAACAAGTGGAAGATACAACAGATGGATGTAAAGTCCACCTTCCTAAATGGAGTTCTTGAAGAGGAAGTTTATATTCAGCAACCATCAGGCTATGAAGTCAAAGGGCACGAAGACAAGGTGTTGAAGTTGAGGAAGGCTCTTTACGGGCTAAAACAAACACCAAGGGCATTGAATAGCCGAATCGACAAGTACTTCTAAGAGAATGACTTCAACAAATGTCCCTACGAGCATGCTCTATATATCAAGATCAAAGATGAAGATATTTTGATCGTATGTCTATATGTGGACGATTTGATCTTCACCGGAAGCAACCCAAACATGTTTAATGAATTCAAGGATGTGATGATGAAAGAATTCAAGATGACAGACATGGGGCTCATATCGTACTACCTTGGCATTGAAGTTAAGCAACAAAATGATGGAATTTTCATTTCACATGAAAGCTATGCAAAGGAGATACTGAAGAAGTTCAAGATGCAGAACTGTAAGATAATAAGCACACCGGCAGAATACGGGATCAAGATGACCAAACATGAAGAAGGCGAAAGTGTAGATCCAACATTCTTCAAAAGTTTGGTAGGAAGTCTATACTATCTAACTTGCACGAGACTCGATATTCTTCACGTAGTTGGATTGGTTAGTCGTTACATGGAATCTCCAACAATCACCCATTTTAAAGCCGCAAAGAGAATTCTTCGCTATCTGAAAGGTACAATTGACTTTGGCTTGTTCTATTCAGTTTCTAATGATTACAAGCTTGTTGGATATAGCGACAGTGATTGGGGTGGAGACATAGATAATCGAAGGAGCACTACTGGATTCATATTTTTCATGGGAGATATTGCGTTCACATGGATGTCAAAGAAACAACCGATTGTCACATTGTCCACTTGTGAAGCGGAATATGTTGCTGCTACCTCATGTGTTTGTCATGCAATTTGGCTTAGAAATCTACTGAAGGAGATAAGTTTGATACAAGAAAAGCCTACCAAGGTTTGTGTCGATAACAAATCAGCCGTTGCCTTATCAAAGAATCCAGTATTCCATGATCGAAGCAAGCACATCGACATTCACTACCACTATATAAGGGAGTGTGTTGCAAGAAATGATGTGGAAGTTGAATACGTGAAGTCACATGATCAAGTTGCCAATATTTTTACCAAGCCACTGAAAAGTGAAGACTTCATAAGATTAAGGAACTTACTAGGGGTCACAAGATCAAGTTTAAAGGGGGTGTTGGATCATAAACTTGATCCATTATGGGAGCCTAAACCCAAACCCAAACTAAATTGATGTCATTGCTTACATCATTTAAGTAAAGATGTCATTGCTTACATCATTTAAATAATGATGTCATTGCTTACATCAATTTAGTTAGGTGAAAGTTAGGTATTTGTTGAATTTGTAATGGTTTAAATTAGTTTATTTGTGTGGTGTAGGATTATTCTTGAGTAGTATAAATACCCCTCCCCATTTTAGTTTTAAGCATCAAGAAAAATTTAGAGTTTCTAAGTGAGTGAAGAAGTAAAGTCCTATAAGAGTGAGTTGTAGTTCTTGTTTTTGAGTGAGAGTGCTCTTGTAATATTTGTTTGAGTTTCAATAAAAGTTGTTTGTGTGAGTGTTTTATTTCCAACACACAGGTATAAATGCAGTACTTATCATGAAAATGGAGAAACTATGAGCAAATTAACAACACATTTCATACAGTGGAACATCAACCAGATTCAAACAGTGGGAAGTTTATTAGTTACCTATTTTTAACCTCAAGACTACGCATAGGGAGATGAAAATTAGGTATCACTGCTGCTTGTGGGGATCTCCATTTTACGTTTCTCCAGCTATAAATCAAGTAAACAAGATGATAAGCAGATCAACTATGCAAATAGAAAAAATTCCAACTGAGACTAACTTTGCTTCACGATAACACCCATCAAGCACTAAATCAAACAAACCAAAATCTTTCACTATAGACCAAATCAACCAACAAATAACGTTGATTAAGAAATTAACATACTAATTTAACAGCTACCACGATTAAGAAAAAGAACAATATCTTATCCTAAATAAAGAATGTTAACAACCTCTTGCGATTATCGGTGTGACTGGGAATCGGAAACTGTAACGTAGAGTCTCTCAAGCAAGCGCCATAGCTCTTCAAAATTATGGGGGGGGTTTCATTAGCGTAGGCGGGTTAATTATTTCATCATCTATGATAAATGCTACAGTATAGAAATAATTTATCATGCTCACATAATAGTTTGTCCAAATAATAATTTTTATTTAATTTATCATGTCGATCTGACGAATTTTAATAAAATATATTTTTTATTAGATTTTATCACATCGAATTGAAAAGTTTAAATAATATTTTTCTAAAACTCGTTATTATAGTAAATACCGTATATCTCTAAATAATTTGCTTTGTACGGTATTAGGCTAAACAATTAAACCGCCAGCCCTAATGGGCCAAAAAAGCCTAAATTGTGAATATGTTAGACCCAAACATAATGGGCCTCAATCAATATACGATTGAGCTGCCCAAAGGTGTTAATATTTTGATATATGAAGCTCAACAATTTAGCCAGTTCCAAGGATGACACGTTATTTTTTGTAAATTTGATACTATATCTGGTTTTCATTTACTCCATTTATAATATCATATATCATTAAATGTTTAATCATTTCAACATTGTATAAAGCACATGTATAACCTTAACATTATGTACACTTTATATTTATATGCATATAGATAGTAATAGTAGGGGGTGGACGATCCATAAAAGTGAAAATTATCTACGCTTTAAGTTGCATGAGATATCTACCGCAAAAGGGCGAAACCTTACTTTTATTTTTATTTGGTAATAATCATTGAAGTACCTTTTTTCCCCCAAAGAATGAAGGGATCGATGTTAATGATGAAGAAGAAGAATGAAGTGACATTATCTCATACTACATTATTAGCGGTCCACCCAATTATTACCTTCATGTTGTGGAAAAGCCTATAAGTTGTGACTTTAATTTTATATCAGGTAGTTGATCATCACCAAACTTTGCAAATCAAATTATGAAATGTGAAACAATTATGCAAGGCTACATTATTCAAATCATCACTCTTGAATTTGAATCATCCCCATCGTATTAGTAATCTGGATACCGAATCTAAAATCGGATAATTTTGTAATAAGCCTTTCATGATTTGATATTATTTGTATGGTTTTTTTTTTGAAATATGGTTATACTAAAATACATATCCTTATCCGATAGGATGTTGCCTTACATGGAAGTGTATGGGAAATGGCTACCTCGGAAAGGTGCTCTCCTCTTTTATGCTATTTACAGAGCAGCGCACGTGTGAGCCAGTACCCAGTGTTCATCTCTGATTCCATAATGAACCCTAACAAGTCAGAAAACCGAAAAGAAAATGCCCATAACCTCCCATCACCTTGCTTTCTTCAAGTCATTATTTGCCGACCAACCTTCAAACTGACACTACCTTAAATAAAAGAACCCATGTATCTTCATTTACATCAAATTATAAAAATAAAAATCCCTTAAAGTATACTGCTTTTGTTAAGGATCTGGATCGTGCGAAAGAATCTGAAACTTGAAAGTATTGTACGAAAAAAAAGAACCTTGAGTTCTATTTCTTTTCTTAATTAAAACGAGGCTGAGACAAGCTGAAAAGGAATGGCAGCCATCTTCTGCTGCGTCTTTAACCTTAAGCTACTATAATGAGGAGAAATGAAAAAGGATATTTTCTAATAAAATACTATTCAAGTGATGATAATTATAGAAAAAACACACATCAAAGTGAAATCCATGAAATTTGTACATCCTTCTTCAAATCAAAGCCAGCTGAATCCCATGCTCATCGTACTTAAAATTAAAACATTGACTATCTTATAAAAGAAGAAGAATGGAAAAGGTTATCAAAAGGTCAAACTAACAAGAGAAGGGAAAAAACCCCGAAAGTTTCTGTTTTGTTTGTTAATAAGGAGGACGGCCTGTGCCCCAGTAGGCCTCATTTGGCAATTGAACTGAATTGAGAAGATTCGGTGGCAACCCTTGAGCAAAGGATCCATTGGGATCTTGCAATAGTTGTTGTTGTTGTTGCTGCTGCGCCTGACTAACCATGCTTCCGGGTGACCCTAAGGGTCCACTTCCAGGAACCGGCGCCGCAGGTGGTTCTTCTTCCTCCAATGGAAGTCTTTCGTACGCTGCATTACCGAAAGAAGCTGCCATAATCACCACGGGCCCTGAAGCGATGAGTTGACCCACCACGGTTCCTCCAACAACCTGACCTTGACCGCCGGCTAAGTATATGGTCAGCGCTGATGCAGCCGGTGGTGCTGGAGGAGGTAAAAAAGACCCAGATAGTGATAAAATTTCGAATCTTCCATGTAAAGTGACGACCGCACCTGGAGCTCCTGGTTGCCTTAAGGTTACATTCGTTACGGTTCCGCTCCCACTTAAAATGCAAACCCCTCTTTGCCTTCGCCTAGCGAAAGTCGAAACACTCTCCACAATATCACAGCCGGTGGCAATTTCCAAAACGTGAGATCGGAGGGCATTGGCACTGTCCCGGGTTATGATGATCGGTGGCTTAGGCTTGTTCTTGGAACCCGCAGGCCTACCGCGTGGTCTTCTCGAGATTACACCTTCGGCTCCGGGGACTACAGCGAGTTCTTTACCTTCACTCGTGTCGGTTGTGGTGGCCGTTTCCTCTCGATCCCGTTTCTGGCCACGGTTTTGCTCGTCCTCAGAGTTATGATGTTGTAACTGTTGTTGGTGGTGGTTATGCTGAAATTGTTGGTGCGGATTTAGATGAAGATCTCGTGTGAGGAAAGGAGGAAGAGGGCGTCCGTGAGCTGTTACTGGGTCCATTTCTTTTTTCTTCCCTTCAAAGCTCAAACACTACTTAAACAATTAGCTAAACACATACAAGAACCGACTGAATTTTGATCAAGAAAGAGAAAAAAGAAAGGACTTCTAAGGATTGAATGTCTGTAGGTTTCAACAAGAAAGTGGAAGAAAAGGGGTTTGAAGCATCTGCCACCAAATTTTCAGCTGAAAAAGCTCAAACAACCCATGTTTCTTCTCTCCAGTACTCTTCATGTAAGTTGAGATCTGTGTATCTCTTGTATGAAGATAGGTTGTAGGCTAAGGGTTTGGGAGGAAATGAGAGAGAAAGGAACGAGGTAAGAAAATAGGCAAAAATGGTGGAAGGGGAGAGTTTATGGGTTTGAGTTTATTTGGGAGCAATGTTGTTGGGTTTAGAGTTAGGTCAAGGCATAGTAAAAATATGGATCTAGTGTTGGTTTGGACAGCGTGCGCTTGGGGGGTGCGTGGGGTCTCCTTTTTCTCTCTTTTGTCCCTCTCCCCCACCATGGGGTCCCAACAACACCCCACGTTCACTCTCCTTTTTCCTCTTTCAAATTGTCTGTCTTTACATGAGAATTAAAAGCCCTGCAGTTTAAGTTGTTCATTTACTTGCCCAAGTCCCTTCTCCCCTTTCACAATCTTAACAGCAAATGGTACTAAAAATTGTATCTTTCAAGTCCCAAAAAGATGCGTACTTTCTACTCGAAACAATTCCTTTGATGGTGACAAGACCGGACTGCTCTGCAGGCTCTTATAAAGTAGAGAATGTTTGTTCCATCATAAGGTCTCTTTCACGGGATCCTTTGTTTCACCCATCCATACATTATCTAAAATAAACGGGTGGAAACACAAGCTTGCAGTAAGCAAAGGAATAAAACTAGGAGAAGCATGGCAAAACCCGGGTGGACTGTAAAGGTTTCGAAGATTGTTTTATACATAATAATAGTCTTGACTTGTTTATAAAAATGAAAGACTGCGCTGGAATTGTTGTTTATTAATGTGTATTTTAATAGGAGGACAGGTCAGAAAAGTGTGAGTGTGTGTGAAGACTGAAAGAGGCGTTAACGTTATTGTGGTTGGGAAAATGAAAAGTTAGTTGAGATATCTAGCTTAGCTAGCGTTACAATACAAAGTGTGGCGTTAGGCAATGGGGAAAGAGGGCATTAATGGAATGGAGTGGTGCATGTGAGTCATGGGAAATAGGAATAAAAATGAAAAATGGGTCATCAAAGTCAGAGCGGGGGACTATCGTTTCTAGGAATGAATGAATCTCTCTTCTTCATTCCTCTATTCCTATCTTTTCCTGCAATCTGTTCCTTTCTACCCATGGTTTCACGTAAGCTAGGTGACAACTCATGCTGCTAAGCCCAATCCTTCCACTGTGCGGAATATTCCCATTAATTTCCCTCCATCACCAATATTCTCTGCCTTCTCCTTGGCTTTTAATTCAATCTCACAGTTACACTGTCCCTTGGTGCAAGGAAAGCACTGTACTGTAGCCTTGCATCCCAAGTGAAGTCTTTTGCTTCCACATTACTTCATCTAATCTGAAAACTTTTCATCATTGGATTCATGCATATATTATGTAATTATTCCATTTCACTTCCTCTCTAAATGTAGTGTTTAAAATTAGTTAAGTTCTACGTGTAGTTGTATCATTAGTTTAAACATCAAATGCTAATTCAATTCTAACACAGAATTTAGAACACTTTTATACTTATTGCACTGATAATTCAAATTTGACATTTTCGAATAGATCTTTTCGACATTGAATACTCACAATCTTAACATCTAAGGTGTTCGAACCCGGATACTCAAGGAATAACAACAATTATTTTACTCCGAGTCCACTTAATTTGTGCAAGAAAGTAATTTATTAATCCTTGATTTTATAATAAAAACGGATGAGGGAAGGAAACTGTGTTTTGAAGGAGTAAGGACGAAGAAAGCATTT